GCTTCTGTCTGCAAAATAATTGCCACCCTTGATCTCATGGAACAGGCTAAACTAGATTTTTGAATCATTCAAATGATATATTTCCTTGCAATCAAGCATCACTCATTTGCTCATACAATAACTATAATCATCTTTGATGTCTGCATTTGTTCACTTGAGAGATGCATAAAATTACGTTCCAGCGGTCACTCCCATAAATTTATCTGATGGTACTTCTGCTGAAGTATCGGACAATAACAACAGAGGCAGGACGATGATGAGCAATTTGTCCATCGTTCGATGATGAGCAATTTGGCTTTCACCGATCAATCTCCGTCGCTAGCATCAAAATCCGTCTCTCACATGCCACCGACCCTTTCGGTTCAACTGTTGACCAACAATTTCTGTTGCAGTCGACCCCAACCTACGTGACAAAAAAGAAGCTCGCACAACATTTGCCATCCGCGCATGAGAATGCACGTTACTTCAGCTCAACACAAGCTAATGGAAACGCATAAATAATGCTGGTAACAATAATAACTATGCAACAAATAAGAATTATATAAAACGTGCATTTTCGAGCAATTTTGTATGCAGGATCCGAAATGAACTTCTTTCCCCGCTACACACAATTTTTCCCAAATACTTGCCAAAGTTCAGAAAGTAACCAAAAGGCATGGATTTTGCCGCCTAAAGAAGAAGTTGCCTTTTCATTGTCACCCAATCTGAATGCACAGCGCAACAAACTATAAGATGAACCAGTTTCCCGCATTCAGATAAGTCAGTTCCAATATGACCCCACCGGATGCTTACTAAATAAAGAAAACATAAAATTTAAGCTGTCAGATACAACGAACCAGAATTCAATGCCCCTTCAAACTCAAAAGCAAAATGTTACAACAATCACGTCCTTATAAATGCGGACCACAGAATTTGTGAGTGTTAACAATGATGCGAATAAGTGTAATGAAATCTGATCACAAGAAACTATATAACGAATTGTATATCAGAAGATAAGATGAAAACATTATTTAAATGATTTATTTCTTCGATTTTACATTTACATCCTTGAAGCGCAATCATTACACGTCATATCACTAAACACCGACTCAGGTTTCGATATTACGTTTCAATAATTCTTCTATGAATACTATCATCATTATTAGATGAAGTTTTAGTCAACCTTTGGAAACCAGCTAAACAGAAAGCACGCGTAAAAACTGAATTCATGATGGAACTGCACGCAAAAATACCACCGACCATTGAACATAAACGTATCAATAATTGAAACAGTGACCTGAAATATTGCTCAACAGATCAACCAATCTAGTGAAAGTAATATTACTTCTGCTATATATGAATTCAATCGAAAGGAATCTGTATAAATCCACAAATAACAATGACAACAATAAATCAACACAACAAAATTAAAACGTACAAATGAAGCTGATGAACTTCAATGACCAATGCAGCAAATTCATAATGTATTACGATTGCTGGATGAATATGCCCTCTACGATCGGAGACCTTTTTATGCTGAGATGATTAGTTGTTTCGTTACCGATCATTATAGATTTTCATTCGTTAATCACTTTCAGTTTACTTATGCACACTTTATAAAAGTATTGAAATCTATTAGTTTGTAGAGCAAACCGTTTTCGTAACCGAATACTGGTAAGTCATTGTTGAACCACCAAAGACGCCATGGTGAAATATCCTCGTTGGTACAATCTTCAAGAAATATCGATACTCGTCCGCACCTGAAAATTATTTTTTGAATCTAATCCCTTTGTCCTACCACTAAAGTTACCCCTCTCCACGAAAAAAAACCACCCCACATTCTCCCAGCAAACATGGCTACCACCTACCTTCTAAGGAGATTTGTTCTGTACCAGCCAGCGGTGTTAACAAACCACGAATGGATGTACCGAAATTAAGTTTTTCAATACGATGCGATAAGTTTGTTGTATCAACACGATTCTTTCCATGCATCCCAGCTAAAATTAATGTCGCATGTTTTAAAACATTACTGAAACTCTCGTTCGATGGAAACTGAATAACAATATTGGCAGCAGTATTAATTCAAAGGTAATAAACAATCAACAGTGATGACAGGAACAAATATAAAAATCACCACCAAAGAGTCCGTCGAAATGCGCAAGCAAATTGTCAACACCTTTAGCAGGCGTAATCACAACGCTATCGCCCTTTACTTTATTCACTCGAACACGTCCACTTATGCGACACGCAGTCCCTTCGTCTTTGTCGGAGTTACCTACAATTATTCATTACTTGATGATAACAATAATGGCATTAAAACAAGTCCGAAACAACAATGAACTAACTCGCGATAATATGAAACACATTGACGCCATTCTGAATCAGTAGAATTTCAGCACCACCACCAAACAAATCATTCATATCATCACGACCGCCTTTTGTTTTTTCACGCTCTCGTTCAATTGCAAGAGCTTCTTCTCGCTGTTTCACTTCCGCTTCTGCTTTCAGTCCCTCTTCCACTCGGCCACTTACATATTGCAACTAAATGCTACCCTTAGCTTTTCGATAATATTCAGAAATATTTTCACATGACAGTACATAAATAACGAAGCTAAGACTAACATTATCCAAACTTTGAAAAATAATCCCGGCGTTGGATTTGTCGCTTTGTTTGCTGCGTTTTAATTCTTTCCAATACAGTTCTTCTTTGGGAGTGAACTCGAAACGAGTTGCATCCTTCTTGAACTGATTGTTCAATAGAAACAACTGTTCAGAGGTGTCGCTTCCTTGCAACTGCGCCACCAAATTCGTGCACGGTGTTGCTACTATCATATCCACTTCCAGTTCTGGATGTCTTCAACATCCCACCCATTTCTCCATGTCTTGTTACATCAGCAACGATAGTAATAATAGTAATAATAATAATAATAATAATAATAATAATAATAATAATAATAATAATAATAATAATA